ATAGTTCCGTAAAAACAAACTAATAAAAATCTAATCGGCCAAGGAAGGAGCCTTAAAAACAAAAAAAAAAAAGATATTAGAAATGTCAGATTAGGTAAGTAAATGATCATGATAGCTTAATTGTGTATTAATAATTTACCTATTCACAAAATAGATTGTGAAATGAAACCTAGTATATAAGTTGAAAATATCAGTATGAATAATGACAACTACGGGTATTGTAAATGTTGACTTGATAATTACTTTTAACATGTACTCACCATAGACATTTTCTAGGTCGAATATTATTAACTTTCCATTGCCATTAGGATAGGTGTTAAAAGAGAAGCAAAAATATGGAAAGAAAGGTGCTAGAAAAAGAGTTACAAAAAAAGTGAGGACAATATTAGAGGAATATTTTCTGACTAGTAATATAAATAAAAGTGATTGTTATACTGCACAAGACATGCATCAAGCCCTTCAGAAAAGGGCACTTGAGGATAAAATCGCGAGTAAAGATGTTCTAAAAATATCCACTATTCAAAATTGGATAGGCTACTACACTCGCTAATATCATGAACAGGCAGCTCAAACAAGTATAAGCAAATAGAAGAATCCTTCAATTATGTAATTGTAATGCAATTCTTAGTAATAAAGAGTTAAATGACTGATTTTAACAATTGCAATAGTCATATACTAAATTAAATGAATAGGTAGTGACTTTCAAACTTTGTCAATTACAATCCCGATTTCTTTGAAGTAGAGATTGGAATTGATAAAAATTACTAAGCATTAACTAAACAAGTTTTTTAATCGAACATTTACAAAGAATTGGCTATATAAAAAGTTTACATTTTATCATATTCTGGTTTTATTTTTTGAAACATACAGAGGGTATCTGAGAACAAATAACTATCTAATGATCTAATTTGAATTTTTAATAGAAACTTAGTTTATTATTTGAAAAAAAAACTTATTAATTGTTTGAAAAATTCGAGTTTATAAATAAATGCTCGAAATTCATCGATTCTGATCTCTACTTAGAAGTCTAATATATGAAATCTCAAAAGCTCAATATTCTAATAAATCACTATTTTAACGTCGATTTTAACTGCATTAATATGTTACTAATAAAATTAATATTTGTCAAGCTCTTGAATTATAAGGAGGGATAGGTAATTTTAATATATATTATTACTCATTATTATCTAAAATTATTTCTAAAATTTTTTATGTAATAAGTGATAATAAGATTTATTATTAAATCCCAACCCAATACACAAAATCCCAAAAATGAGAGATAGTATCTTACTAAATTTTATTTATTATTCACAAATATAATCTGAACAATAGATTCTAAATTAGAGTTGTTACTCTGGTCAAAAAAATTCAGGTCTGAAGTTGACCTGGGTCAGATAGATGCTTAGTTTTATTTCGCTATTAATGCTTATAGACTATTAGTCTCCATAGGTAGTTATCTGCATCCAGTAGGACATGATGTCTGGAACTATAAATTAGCACAGAGTGAAATAATTAATGTGAATAAAATGTATTTATGAACTTGATTTTAATTCTATCTATTAATAAATGTTCTTTATACTTATGCACTGAGTGAAATGATTAATGCAAATGAAATGATTTGATGCATATTACATAATAGTAAATATATAATAAGTTGCAGAAAATACAGAGCCAAATTCTCCTTCTAACTCTTTCATACAATAATTGATATTCTTATTTTCACTTACCTATCCTTGAATCGTTATGTCAGGATCATATTAGGAGCTATACTTTATTCATTTCAAGATTTAAAGCAGGATTGTATTCTTGTAAAGTAGTTCTGCTAACACTTTGCTTCTCTCTGATCCAATTTCCAAGTCAACATAGTCTGCTAATAATTTTCTTCCTTCTAATCAAAGTTTATCCACTCCAAGTTTCAAAGCAATCAGAGTAGTATTCTTGCAATACATCTCTGCTAACACTTTCTCTATCTCTGATCCAGGTTAATTTGCTCTAAAATTTAAAGTAGAGTAGTATTCTTACAAAACATATCTGTTAACACATTCTCTCTTTCTGATCCAAGTTATTCACTTCAAGATTCAAATCTGCATTCTTTCAAAATATCTTTACTAACACTTTTACTCCCTATAATCTGGCAATAGCGAAGATAAAACATGAAAGAGCAAAACTAAAATATCATGAAAAAGAATCATCTAACTATTAAAAAAATTTATATTTATAAATTTAGTTCATTATAAATATGAGACATAGGTCAACCTTCTAGTATTTCAATTCGTAATCCGAGATCTAAATTGATTCTTAAATCTAAATAAATTTAGCTATCCAAATCAGAGAAGTTTACTTAAATTAGTCAAAAAACTTAAATAACAGACCTAAAAATATGACCAAAAGTTAGCTTTAATATATGATCTGAGACAGATTCAATTCGGATTTAATATAATCTGAATAGTCTGTTGAAATAGAATTGAAACACTAAACCTTACTTGGGTAATAGCTCTATTCTAAGTATTTTCAGTATGAATAAACTTGATTTCTAGTTTTAAATAAACTAGTGAAGAGCTTTAATACTCTAAATTAGCATGAATGAAAATTTTGACTTAGCAAATTCATTTGAATTTGAATAAAAAACACGATTCTAACTAATACTCAAATACTAAATGTAGCTACTATTTGCCACTGCTTACAATACTTAGGTCTTATTCAAGAACTCCATTTTTTAAATTGAATAGTATCTATGAGTATTGTGTGAAGAACGGGGTACTATATTTGGAAATAATTTATATGCAAATTAATAGAGTTATACCCTCGGGTATTATTCAAGAACTAGACTAGTAGAGATAGTAAATAATACCTGGGACTTTAATCATAGTGGGTATTATTTTGTGGATGCTGTAGGTAGTGATCAACAGTATTTGAGATATGATTGTGAATTACTTACAGTATGTAACTTGTTCTAGTGAAGTCTTCGAGCTAAGAAAAAAAATCTTTGTTATAACTTATAGATCTAACTTCTACTAGCTCAAGTAGTATAAATCAATTACACAGGCATCTAATTTATACATTATACAGTACTTTTTAAGAATATGATATATTGTGTTAGGCAACGGTTTATAATATTTTGAGTGATACTATCTGCAACGTAAAAATATAGTACTTGCAGTTAGAAGGTTTATTCTAGATTGTGTAGAAAATAATTGAAATCTAGATAGTTTTACTTCAGAATCTAGCTTTGACATTGAATATATATATTTTTTTACTAATAAATAAATAAAAAAAGTCAAAATAATATATCTTAGAGTTTTAAATATTTATTCTTTGTGCAAAAAATATAAATAAGTTTTATTTTAAATAATATTGTCTAAGCTTTAAAAATTGTTACTTGCTAGATTATTATTAATGATTTACAAAAATTTGCTTCAAATATTACTAATTATTTTCACTGATTGGCATGCAGATTACGAATTAATTTTTAAATTATAAGACAAAAAATTTGTATTATTTATAAACTAAAAATAAACAATTTTAAAAAAATTTTTTACTAAAAATTTGATTAATATTTTTAGATAAACTTCTTTAATTTAAGTTTTAGAGATATAATTCTTAAAGTAATTTGATAGAACTTTTAAAGGATTATAACTTTTATTATTATAACTTTTATGATTTAATTAAAAGAATTTGAACTTGTATTAGAAGTAAAAATTTTTTTTAGCTTTAAGAACATATAAAATTTATAAATTTTAGAAGAAAAAATTTTATAGTAAAAATTCTTAAAGCTAAACTTTAAAGCCTTATTACTCAAAAAATTTCTAATAAATTTAAAAAAGTTTCTTAATAAAGTTGATAAAACAAATATTTAAAACTATTTTTTAATTATTATTTAAATTAAAAGTAATACTAATTTTCACCAGAGGTAAAATTACTGGCAATCATGTGATGTCACATATATGTAGCTAATAGATGATCATCAATTTTGTGTTATACAGACATAAACTGATAATACTTACTGCATACTATATGTGCAGTTTACTTCTATTTGAGAATTAACTTTCTGTTATCCTTTGCTTGCAAAGGATAGTTGATACTTTTGCTATAGTTGCTGCTTTTGCTGCAGTATTTTCTTTACTAAAGCTAAAGAAAAAAAATTTAATTAATTAGTTTATCCTGACCCTAACTCTAAACCTAAACAAAAACTTTAATCTGGTGATAGATATCATTACATTTTATAAGATTACATAATCTGTAAACTTAATGTTGCTAGTCTTGTATAATACTAATGCTATACTGCTAACTCTAACCTTATCGCTAACACCAACCTGGTGGTAAAACCCTAACTCTAATCTTATACTATAATATGCAAAATTTGTTAGAATAACAATACTAAATTTATATACTGTAATTGATTTCAAACATACCAAAACTTTAGTTTGCTAGATGCATTAAATAATCTAACAAAAATTAATATATATACCTATGAATTTAATGCCGCAAGATCAATTTAAATAAAAATACAATTAACCTAAACTTCAATTTATTCTTTATTATCATTCATTACAATTGTTACATTTGTATTCCTTTAAGTAGTCAATAAATATAAAATTATAACAAACTAGTATAGTATAGATGAGCAGATCAGTATAGTACATGCTGATTTTAAAACCTATACTATACTCATCATCTATAATTCTCTAACACTATATACTACCAGATCAGTATAGTACAGATTTCAAAAATTAGCCTTTACTATACTAGTCTACTCACCTATACCATATTAATTTACAAAATTCTTTTTATTAGTAATGATCCATATATCTTTGAAAATATTATCTGTTATGAATTTCATACTAATCTGTTTAGTTACTATACTAATACTATTAATATTACTTAAAACAATGATACAATTATAATGATAATACTTACCAGACCTATGAATTCTAAATTCTGATAACAAGTTTCTACAAAAAGTAAACAATTAAGCAATTAAGCACATACATATATATGTACATACAGATATATGTACGTATATACAGACTTTTATCAAATTTGTACAATTCTAAGAATATAGTCTGTATGAAATTGATTGATAAAAATTTCACAGTAATAACACTAAGGCAAACAGCATTTTTTCAATTAAGAATGCAGCTAAGATATACAATACATGATTATAACAACTAATAATCTACTCTAAATTCTAATTATTCCTTATTAATCCTACATGTTGCTCTATTATGGCCCCTATTTCCACAATTTTGGCATGTCTTTCTTTTATTCTTAGTTTCATCATTAGATTGATTAACTTCTATTAGTTGTAAATATTGTCTTTTTGTAGCACATTGATCTTGCAATTCCATATTACTTTTTGCTTTTCCTAGTAGTCTCCCTCTTTATGTAATAATTACAGGATTCATAATATTAATTTTAGTATCTTCTATTTTTTCATCTGATTCTTGATTTCTTGGTTTATCAAGTATAAATCTATAACAGATACCCATTAACTCATTATATGTATTAGTAGAAATTGCGATATTAAGAGCTTTTCATATTATTCCATATGCTTTACTATATTTTTGTCATGTATTATTAACTTCTTGTAATACTGAGCTATAAACTTCAGCACCTCTTATTTGTTTGATATAATTAAATTTGTATATTGAATGTTCATAGTTACCTTGATTACGGTCTGAATCTTTGCATATAGTAATAAAAGACTGTTGCCAAATATCATTACTACCTCTAAAGAACTCATCTTTATACCAACACATTGCAATAAGTTCTATATACTATTTGGCCTGAGCAGAGCTATGTAAAATCTTATAGAAGTATCGATACAGATATCCATGAGTTATAATAAGGTTACATATACATTAGTAGAACCTATCTGCTAATAACACAACATAATTCATTTTGGTACTACAGGATATTACAACTCTCCATATTTCTAGAATTTGATTTTGTTTGATTAATGAAATAATTTCAGTAAGATGTATTTTTGCAACTTTATAGTTATCTTCCTGTAGACCCTTATCATAATTAATATTACTTTGATTCTATTAGAAAAGATAAAATATTTTAGCCCTACATAGATAAAAACCCCAATAAAAAATTAATACTTAACCTGATTTATAGTTATGATATCTATTTTGGAACAGTTATAATAAAAACATTCTTGCATCTGATTACAAGCAACTAGAGATTAAACTTGGCATAAAATTTAAGCTCCGAGTGACTCACCTATTTAAGAAATCATTACCAGGTTACAAACTAGGTAGCTTCAAATAACCCAGTTGACCCAGCTGACCCAGCTAACTCAGGTTAAATCTCTGCTTTCATTGTAAATCTATTGCTCGAGCAATCCTTCAAGTTAACAAATATTTCACTAAAAAAAATATAAATATAAATATAAAAACATTAATCTTCACTATACAGAAGTCTCAAAAGATTGAAAAGTGTAAGACAAGTATTTTATATTTAGTATGTGTTCCCAAAGTCAAAGTCGTTAAGATAGAGATTCAGAAATCAAAGTTTAGATTCTGAAGATCAAGATTCAAAGTTTAGATCTTTATATATTTAGTATAAATAATGATCTTAATATTATGAAATTATCTAGATAAGTAGACGTGAACTTAGTATAGATTAAATAATAATATATACTGTTTTAATGATCAAAAGGTCATAAGTATCATAGCGATTGTACTAAAAAATAGAAATGCTTAGTTTTATTATCGATTAATTTAATTAGTCAATGTCACTTACTATGAATAACTAGGTCAACTGGGTAAAAATATTCATGACCCAGTTCGTGGGTGTTACTCAGATGATCTAGATGATTCTTATACAGGTACTATCTCTACAAGCAACAAATACTATTGATGGTATAAGATACTTTGAAATGACCTCTTCAATGAAATTAAAATAAGTTTTTGTAATTGTTGAGAGACCTATTATAGGAATTTGTTCCTTATACTTCTCTACTCTTGTATATTCCAATTTCTTATCAAGTAATAATTGAATTTCTTTTACTAATATTAAAAGCGATGAATTTGATTTAATACAGCTATGAATTTTATGATTTAAGCTTTCAACTCTCTGAGTACTATTTGTGCCAGCTATAAATTGATTATTCATATAACATACAGCCTATTTGTACTTAAATAGATCTAGTTGTCACTTTATATAACTGTTTGCTAATTTGTACTTTTTTTTTAAATTTTCTCAATGACTTTCAAAAACACTTGAAACTAATATATTTCTACAGCTAAAAAATGCTTCATGAAACTCCTTAAATTCCATTGAACCTAGCTTATTCCGAAAATTTTTTTTTATATTAAAATCAATATGGAATATATATAAATAATGAATAGAATTTGGAAATTCTAGACTTATTATATTAGCTATTCCTGGATCAGAATCAGTAAACACAACAGTTAGTGTTAAATTCTCTGTACATTTGTTAATCATTTTCAGTACTCAGATAAAACTATTCTCTGTTTCATCTTCAAGTAAAGCACTTGCAACAAGTCGTGTTCTATTACAATTGTTAATTAAAGCAAAAAAACAGGCTATCATATTATACTTGTTAGTACGAGATGTAGTGTCAAAAAAAACAATATCATGATACCAGGTCTACAAAAATTGTTGTTTAGATGATATCTATACTAACCCACATAATCAATAATTAACTTCATTAAATTTTGTTTCTATAAACTAACATGAATCTTCTGCACATTATGAGTATAGGTGCCTCATAAGATCTGATGCATCGTATTCAATCCTTGATGTTAATTTTTTTTGGCTATTTAAATTACATTGTAAAGACTCTTCTGATAAATCTTTCTTCCAAGAAATTTTCCTTTCAAGAGCCATCTAATACTTTGTATGCCTGTTACACTATAATATACACAAAAGTCAACAAATTTGACTATATCATTACCAAATTTACGATATTTAGTGATATTAGTTTGGGGTGAAGGTGTCATCAAATGATTATGCTCATTCACAACAGTTGTAAAAGAAATTATTGATGTATCTTTTGAAAGGTTACCATTAACTCTCTACTTACAATCTGTTGCCCTTTATGTTCGATTTCTTTAATTGTCTAGATTCAAGACTTTTTTTGCTTTATACTTACTTGTGCAACTACACTCCTAGCCAACTCTAATTAAAACTTTGTTACTATCAAACTCAGTTTGTTTTCTTCGTATACTAAACCTTTTCTCTAACTCATAGCTAAAAAATTTTGAGTGTTATCTTAGGTAAGAAATATCTGATCCAAAAACAAAGTTAGAGCAGAAAAAGTACTATCAGATTCTTCATCAGAAGAGTCTGTATCAAATACTGAAATATTGTTATGATCTTAATCTAACAAATATTCTTCCAAGTTAATTTTACTTTTTGGTTCATTAGTGGCTTCATCATTTATTATTATATAAGCACTTTCAAATTTCAATTGCTGTCCTTCCAAGTTGACTTTATAACTTGAATTGTTAGTGGTTTTATCACTTATTATTATATAAGTTCTTTTGAATCTCAACTATCTTTCCAAGTTAACTTCACTTTTTGAATTGTCAATAGCTTCATCAGTTATAACTATATAAGTACTCTTCTCAGTAATTTTGTCACTTATTATATGAGTTCTTTTATTTGTCATACTTGTTGCTTCGATTTCATTGAATTTATTATCAGTATGTTAAATTAACTTCATAATAATGAAAAATAAAAAGAAAATGACAATAAGAATATTGATCAACTGCAGAACTATTTAGATATGCAAACTATATCGATATTGCATAATTGATTAACAGTAATTTTACATTAATGATTAATAAGTATCACGTAATTACTAGTGAATTTACCTCTGGTGAAATGTAGTTATTTTCTTAAATTAATATTTAAAATTTTTATCTGATATTAAAAATTATTTATAAAAGTTGCAGGCAAATTTAGCTGTAATACAATTTAAGAGATAATATAACTAATATATGTATGAAATATATAATAAATAGTATATATACTATATATATAATAAATAATAAAAAAGTATCAAAAACTATATATAATAGATGCATTACATATAACTAATCTCTTGCAGTAATCGCTCAGCTAATTAGATTGTATAAATAATTATAAAAAGCTAGAACTTGAATATTATAAGATTCAGTAATTAGATTTTAATAATTTTTGGCTTATTAGATCTGTTTTAGTGAGTTGATTCTAATAGTATATATTTTATCCTATTTAGATTAGTAGATTAAAAGTTATTAAAGTTTTGATATTTTTTTAATATTTTATAGGTTAACAATATATACAAAATATAGTATATATAGAAATCTACTAATCTTAGTATAGTAGTTAGGTTTCCAAACTGCCATACAAGAGGTTTGGAATTCAAATCCTACTATTAATAAATTTAAATAATTACTCAGACTTTTGTATTCAACTTATAGTAAATCCTATTTATTTCTAAGTTTGTAACCTTATAAATTATATTATACTAATATCATTTGGTTATTAGAAGTATAATAAGATATTTGAAGAGATATAATATTATATAAATAAATCTTAATAGGATTTATAAGCAAGGGATTTGCATAGTAGAAATTCTGAGTTGATAAAATAGTATAGCTTTTAATAGTTATATTAGCTAATACTTGATCTAAAAAGAAAACTATCAATCTGAAAATATAGATTAAGTTAGATATAAGTAAGTTTATTCTATAAGAAGAATTGGCAACACCAATTTGGCCTAGTGGCTAATTGAATTAGAAGAATTTATCTCATAAAATATTTGAAGAAATCAGCAAATATAAAACTAGTAGAAAGCTACAGTAGGAACTGAAATTATACAAACACTACAAGAGTCTAAGCTAGATAAATTTGTGAAATAAGTATAGACTACTCTAGTAGGTTTGCTTCAAAATTAACTAGAGCTATGCATGCTCTAAATACATTAAACAATATATATTCTAAGAGAATCTTAGCTGAAGTTTTTTTTTTTTTTTTTTTTTTTTTTTAATTTATTGATAATATCAAAATAGGAAAAGAATTAGTACATTTGTATATCATGATGGTATATATGTAAATCTAATATATATTCCTAAAGTACATTGTTGTTACTAATACTAGTTAGTCATCCAATGTGATATTACACTCTCATTTTCTATTGTTAGCTAATTTAAACCTAAGTTACTATTAACTATAGAGGAGGTTGAAGGAGACTTCTAAGATTATAGAAGAAAAGAGTTAGAAAAAACAGTTACATATGGAGAAATTTTGAAGTAGTAATTTATAAATATAGTTGTCTATGTTAGTATTGTAGGAGGTATGATTATTTGTAATATTTGAGATTTGTAACAGATAAGTAATTTTCATTTGTTTTTTAGTTTTTTTAGAGATTCTATAAGCAGTTTCCTATTCATATTGTTTTTGGTTTCTGTCTTTCCAAATTTTGTTGTTGAACCAGAGTAGTAAAGAGTTGAATAGTTGTGTAAAGAAGTCAGTAGTTAGTTTTTTAAGTAGTATATTTGTTTGATCGAAGTGAGTTGTTAAGATAGTTCTTTGGATTAGTAGAAGAAGTATATTTAAAGAGTTTTAGAAGTTGTGATTGGATATGAGGATTTGAAAAATTGTTTAAGGAGAGATATTTGTTATGTTTAGTATTTGGAATTGTTCAGTTATATATTGTTGTAAAAGATTTGGTAAGTTAATTGAGTGTAGTATGCAGGAGAATAGATGTTCAGTATTTTCATATTAGTTGCAGAAGGAGCAATTAGGTGTGAGATATAGATTTGGATAGCAGATGTTTAAATTTGCCATAGTTGGAAGATTGTTGAGAAGTATTTTATTTCTAAGTGAGTAGAGTTTTAGGTTGTTGTTTTGAGAATTTATTGTATAAATAAGTTGAAGAATGTTATATGGTTGTAGATTTAAAAATGTTTTGAGTTGTATAAGTTTGTTTAGAGTTTGAATTGAAAGTATATTTGTGCAGAATTTGCGTATTTTGAATGTTATAGGTATTTGGTTCTATAAAAAATATGTAGGTAAAGAGAAGTAATTAGTATTTAGTTGGATTTCTAATTTGTTAGTACCTT